TAACTAGGTTGTGTAATATTTTTGTTTTTCCTTTTTACTGAGACAGGGACCGCAGAGCAAGGGATGACAACTACTCTCCACACCGATCTAGATCTATTTCCAGATCGGTCTCTCCACGCAGTGAGAGAAACCAAAGGTCTTCAAGGCGATCTAAATCCATGTCTAGATCCCCTCCTCCAAATGATGATAGAAAGCACCAGTTGAGCAAGTCCCCAAGTCCGAGTGAAAATGGCCGGAGTGCTCATGATGAGGAGTATGCACGCCGCAGATCAGAGAGTCCTAAAGTGACTGCTCGCCCCTCCAGATCTCATTCTCGATCTTACAGGTGTGTGCCATCAATTTTCAACATTTGATTGGCTGAAACCATTGTTCAAAGGAAAAATAAACTATTTACCTAAGTTGGAATTAGCTTTTTTGTTACCCAATTGGCTCTGCGTTCTCTTCATTGGGATCCAAGTTTGATCTGCATGTTGGAACATGGTAGATATAAGTTTTATTGTGGAGGTCTTGAGATGCTGACATGGTCTGAAAGGGTTTTAAGCCCCTGTTGTCAATTAAGAGCATGAAGAGTGCATTTTGGCAAAGTTGAGAGTAAGGACAGTCATGCTCCAACTCTGAGGCAATCGTGGCACGTGGCTTGACCTGAAATTTGCACTTGCAGTATTGAAGTATAGTCTGTCATACAAACATACATACATTAGTGTTTTGAACTAAATTGTCTTTGAATTGTCATAAGGAAAAGTTAAAGGTCCATCTATCTGTCCGTGGTAGGAAGCATTTGTCAGCCTTGGTTAATAGCTCAGAATCCTCTGGTTTTCCCCAAAGGAAATAAACAAAGCTCAACATCCTCTTGGATGTCGTTTGGCACACTCTTATATTTTTTGGTGGGCTGCTTCTAGCCCCCCCCCCCCCCCCCCCCTCTCTCTCTCTCCCTCTTCTATTTTTGCAAACTAATTGGTGGCTTCTGTGCAGTCCGCATTGATGGATGATAAACATGCTGCTGTTGTCATGTGGTGCTGTTCTTCCTGTTCGAATTGTAGAGTGTACTCTGCTATAAGTTAAACTAGACTGGGACTATATTCTGGTATCACTGAATGTGAAGTTTGCTATGTGGGACATACTATCGTTGATACTGCTGTCATTTTGCTTTTGTTGGATCTCATGGCTTCAAATTTCACTGGTATGGAAGTATTAACTTGTAAGGCGTTTGCACTGAAGCTCATTTTCCTGTTTATTTGGTTGGATTTCGTCTTGGTAAAATTGCTTAATTCTGTTCTAGATATGGTAGGTTTGAGTACGTGGGGTTGAGATTGATTATATCTACTGAATTATTGTTTCCAACAAGTGCAAGGAGCCAACTACTCAATTTTTTTTTTTTTTTTATTTCTATAGAATTTTGGAGAACTGCAATTAGAAGCGCCCGTGACATGTAGTATGTAAATATCAAAGCATGTTTCCGACAATTTTAGCCAATTTTAAGGTCCATTTTACTAATATTATCACACATTTCCGAAATGTACTCCATCCAGTAAAGGACGAGGGGTGCGCTAAATGTGTGCAGTAGCACTCCTTATTTCTAGAAAATAGGAGTAGAATGAAAAGTGGCACAAGCTTGTATTCTTCAATTTTTTGCTTTTTGAAATGCACTTTTACTCTTGTTAACTTGTTTAACGTGACAACTCAGATAAACTCTAAACTTTTTGTAACCAAAAAAAGGCCATCCAGTGAATCAATGCAGTCAAACTAGTAAGTAGGGAGGGGAGGTCCAGCTTTGTGGTCTAGCAAGTCAAGGGATGATTCTCCTAATTGGACAGAGAGTGGTGCCAATTGGTTCGTTGCAGAACAGCCTGAGCGACTCATAGTAAATGTTCACTGATTTCATCAGTCAGGATAGTTTTGATTCGCTCTCAGTTTGGCGGTCATAGGATATTAAATTATCAGTTTCTGATAAGGTTGGATTTGCTTGCACTGGAAGTTTTCGGAGACAGAGGTCAACATGTCATTTCAGAGATGTTTGTTATCAAGGCATATATGAGGGTCACCATACTTTTTTCAATACATTCCAAATGGTGCAGGAAAGACTTACTGGTCAAGATGTTCTACGATCGTGATATCTGTGTGTAGGCGAGCAAAAGGAGCCAAAATGAGCGCCCTTGCGCATAGAATAAAAATATAATCGGAAGAGAAAACCTGCTTCTAAGGGGTGGAATGGAAAACTCCAATGATTCAATTCGAGCAAAAGGAGCCAAAATGAGCGCCCTTGCGCATAGAATAAAAATATAATCGGAAGAGAAAACCTGCTTCTAAGGGGTGGAATGGAAAACTCCAATGATTCAATTCGAGAAGAACCTAATTTTCAAACTTTATAAAAAAATATCATTTCATTGATGAAAAGACCTTACAATTTAAGATGATAAAAACTACTTTAATAACTAACATAATCCATAACTCCACTATCTAGTAACCACTTAGAAAACTATCCACAAAATATTCTATCACCAACTCACTCATTAATAATTTTTCAATAGCCAACTCTTAGATTACAGAAAAAATATAGTAAAAATATGCACATAACACAATCATTGCACCAAGGTATGTTGAAATTATGATTGGGAAGAGGCATCCACACCCACAACCAATTGCATCATAAGTGAACTCAACAAGAAGTTCTGCTAATAGCAGACCGACCTAAATTATGGAGAATGTGACTGAAGGTGTCATTCCACTCATTCCAATGGGCATGCTTTCTCAAACTCTTTCTGCTCTTTACGGCATAACTCAAATTCATTCGTATGGTCGTACAGACAGGCGGCATAAGCATCCATCTCTTTTGTGCACCTTTGATGAAGATCTTTCAGCCTACATGGCCAAGTATAGGATAATTCAGAAATGCTCCTTACTAGTTTCTTGTCATTTTTTCTTGATAGATAGAAGCAACAAATTATCAATGTAAACATAAAAGAAGTTCAGCCTTAAATTTTAGGTAAGGTTGGAACACTTCACTTTTGAATTATCAAGAAAGCAGGATAACATTTCTCTCAATGGTTTCATGATCCGAATATTTAAATCCTATTCCTGAGAATTTAAGCACCTAACTACGAAAAATCCTTCACATGTATTTAAGAAAACCATTACAAAAGATGCACGCTCCAAGCCATACAGTAGATCCCATTCTTAGCAGCTGAAGAACAAGTATCCATATTTCTACAAAAGAAGCTGAAGGATACAGCCTTGGTCCAACAAACCTGTATCTCTGTTGTTGCAAGACTAAGTAATTCAGCTATCTTGCATGAGACATGTACAAAGTGCAACCCCTAAGACTGTTTTTGCTTTGTATTACTCCTTTTGTTGCATAGACTGAGTCCCATCTCATCAGCTACAAATATTTTGGTCACATGCATAGCCCTGTCAGACCAGAACTACATGAAAATAGATGCTTATGTGCCACATCCCCCCGTTCACTATTGCATCACCAAAAAATTTCCAACATTCCTGGCCATCTAGAATCAATTTTATCTCTACTAAACTTGAAACTAGAATTGAAAACAACCCAACTTATTGAGGCGCTACTGCAACAAAGTAACAATTTTGCTTTTGAATGAAAGAATTTTCTACAGACTTTGCTATTAAAAACACCTTAATGACTCCCGCAAAAGCCCAGCTGTCAATACCCAAAGGAGGTATAATGTAAGATTAATGAGTAATCTTTTCTCTATAACCAATGACTTCAATTTTGTGCAGCAGCGTCAGCAACAAGATCCATCTACATATCGCAAAGGCTAAAGATTATCACTCAGCAACATACTTGAAACTGTATATAAGCAATCAGATTAACAATGCACATCGACATCCCAATTTGTAGTGTTCTAGATTATGTATGTTGTGCTAGATAAAATAGCTACAATGATAGTCAGAAATAACGATGCATTTAGCTGAAATTGGACTTTTAAAGAGAACCAATTCAAATTTTGTACAGACCCAAAGATAATCAATCATAAATGCTTTCAAAAAAAAACCAAGGCTTCGGTAAAACTCCAATTCCAATTTCATGTTGCCAAATGCATCACAAAGGTGTTATTAGACCAGGAAATTCACTATTTCCTCATGAAAAAGTTCAATGAACATACATAACTGTGAATGTGTAAATATGACTATGAATATTTGCTTACAGGCGAAGAACACAGCGAGTGACTTGGTGGCCTTTGTCGAGGCATTTCTCAGGGTTAGGATCGTCCTTCTTGCATTTGAGGAAGGCCACGTTCTCTCACCTGCATCTCGTCGCTATGTGCTTCGACGCCGCCATCAGCACCGCCGACGTCGGGATCGGCTCTCCGACCGCGTCCACCGTGCTCGCCATCTCTCCCAATCGCTTCCTCCTGACCAAATCAGAAAAAAAAAAAAAAAAACACGCGGAAAATGTTCAATCCGCAATCAAAGAGAAAAAATTTCATTATTTTCCAGAAGTTTCTCCGCAACCAAACAGAAAATCTAAGGGAAAAAGTTAATGGACAACTTTGTTTCGATGATAGTACGCTTTAAGACATCTGGAGACGAAGATGCTATAGTGAAAAGTGCTATCTTACGCAGGGGTGACATACTACTTTTGTAGTTGAGAAATTACTATTATATTTTAATTTATGGGGGCATTTATGTCTTTTAACACCGGAGGCATTGCGTCAGGTAAAAAGGTATCTTCTTGTTGAGTCTCATTTTATTTTTTTGTAAGGGTTTATTTCGAGCTCGTCTCGCTCATTTTCTCACTGTAGCTAGGGTTTTGGGAGCTCTTGTTGGAGACAGATATTGGGCTTTTACTTGTTGAAATTTGAGAAATGGGGGACAAGAAGAAGCAGGCTACAATGTTCATCAGGCTTGTTTCAGCTGCTGGGACTGGATTTTTCTACGTGAAGAGGAAGAATCCTCGCAGAATCCCTACAAAGCTCGAGTTTTGGAAATATGATCCTCGTGTGAATCGTCACGTTCTGTTCACTGAGGCTAAGATGAAGTGATTGAAATCCTGCTCCACTCCTGGTTAGAACTACTTGTTCTCATGCACTTATCTTTGATCAATGTTATGTTGTTATTTCCTGTAACCAATTTTCAAACGAAATTCAGCTCAATAAGTATTGTTATTTCTGCTTAATTTTGGGTTTGATGTGACATGTTTGATCATGTATTTCTGAAACCACTTCATCTTTAATTGCAACTAGTCTCTCATCTTCTAAATTTTTCATGATCATTGATGCATCCTGAGTGATTTGATTCAATACGTTATGAATTTTGTCACTTTATTTGGAATGTCATTGTTGCCAGAAGAAATTGAGCTCTTCAGCTCTGTCATTTCTTGGTTTTGTTTGAACACACTTAAAATTTCATGCCCTTCAAAGTTGGATTTTGTTTTTAATGACATGGTATAGTTATTCATTTCATAGGGGATGACATGATATGTTTTCAGTTATACTGCAAGGAAATCAAATTGATGATTGGGATTTAATTGTTGACGTGAGGGTTCTGCATCGTCGGCAGCAGATGATCTTCCTACAACCTCTGTCTCCTTTCGTTTAGATTAGTCTTCTACTACCGAGACTACTAGTGTCAAAAAATCATTTTTAAGACAATCTGGAGATATGGTATCTAATATCTCCATAAAAGCGTGTTTTAGACCCATGTTTCTCATTGTAATAGCGTGGGTTCAAAACATGCTCGTGTAAAGATATTTGTAAAATCACTCAAAGTAGTCATATGTTGAACTACTATAAGTGATGGGGTGGTGGGTCTCAGCCACCAAAGTGGAGACTCTTTGTGAACATTGTGTTTGTAGGATAACACACACTAAACTAGACCATCATTGAACAAGTCTTGTACTTCACACTGTCATGTGGAAGACTAATTCAGAGGACATGCTGCAAAAGTCATTTGACCTGAGGTTGCTACTACAAATATAGATTTCATGTGGTTTTGACATTGTCATCCAGGCATGCCTGACAGGAGTTTTATACACGGGCATGTTATGTTATATGGATGACATAAAAAGACTAGGAGATGTTGAAAGGAGGATCCATGCCTCCAATGGTAGGAGAGAATACTCGTGATTGTGTCCATGTGTTCTGGATTGAAATCCTATTGCTCAATTCTGAAAATAGTTTTAATATTATAATTAATACTCATACTAAGTTTGTTGAGATGTTAGTTTGTTGATGTACACGATTGCAAATGTAAAATCAGTTGGACTGGGTCAACTAGGTAGAAGGATTCCTTAAAGTTCCCATGTAACATGTCCTTATCTAAGCCGAGGTCTACACTATATAGAGTTACGAAATTATAAGGTCGTCACTTTATTCCTCGTTATGAGAAGTATAAGTGGATGTGAAGTGGTAATGATCTTTGATCAGTCGATGACTATGGTTGAGTGTCAATATGTATATGGAAGGAAAGGAGATGCCATTCACTTCTTTGGACACATTTTTTTTCCTTGCCTCGCTTTGTTAGTGGTGGCTGATCAGTGTTGAAGACTTAATGTACATGCGCAAGATCTTTGGAAGGTTTTGCACATGTGGGTTCCTTGATGCCATCTAGCTGAAAACTTAGGATTCATCTTTTGTTGATGTCTGTTCTTGCTTGATTTTACCGACGAATATAATCGCATGAGACTGATGATTCAGATGGGTTCACAGGAAGATAATGTTTAACACCCAGCATAGCAGCACTACATCGGAGACCCCACCCCTTTCACCCACCTCCTGAACATCGGTGGCGCTCCCCTAAAACTGGCAACCACCCCCACCCTATGAGACTTTCTAGAAACCCAGCCCCCAGAAACCACCTCTCTCCTCTTTATAAGTCTCAACTCAATGTCATCCACCCTCCAAAGGGCTCTGGCAAATATTACATTGTATCTCAAAAGATTTTTAAATTCTTAATTTATGCAATAAAAAATCAAAATTTTCATATTACATCCTTAATCAAGATAAAAAGAAGCAATGCAATTTAAACCTATTATTGAATCAGACTCATGATCTTGGTTTCTTATCACCAAATTAGCGGTTGATTGCCACCGCCTTTTGTTGGATCTTAAGATCGTGAGTTTAAAGTTCACCGTTATTCTTCCTCATAATAATACATGACAAAAAATGAGCACATCACTAACTAGATGTATCAAAATATGATACAATTTGTTAATACGATACAAAATTAGAGATTTTGAGTTTTTTTTAAGTTATTCATTTCATAATTGAGTGGACTCAAATTACAAATACATGTGAAATTAATCAAAATAAATATATAATACGTCTTGTTTATATATCAATTATATACTATTTATATTGGACAAAAAATTGATATGATACAAATCAATAAATAAATTGAATATCAATAAAATATTTTTTAACAGAAATTCACCAAAGCTCGAATATGTGTCACTAGACACAATTAAAAGACCTTGTATAAACACAAGAAAAAGTGGGCAAAGGACGTTGAAAACTTAGTAATCCCTCTAAAATTTATGGCATGAAACACAACATCATGGGCCTCTAGTGTACTCTTCCTGATCCAAAGGGCTCCGCGAGACAAAAAAGGTAAATTGTAAAGGGTACACTAAATTAGATTTATTTGGTAAATAGTACATACTAAAAAATATAGAGTTATTAAGTACTTAATTTTGATACTTATTTGTATCCAAATATATAATTTGAATTTATCTATTTTTATTGTGACATTTTTGCCCTCCATTAAACATCTTTTAGTTTTATGGGAGAACTTTAATATATATATATATACATAAATACATATATATTTATATATACACGTTTATATATATATATATATACACACACACACACATATGTATGTATGTATGTATATATTTATTGTTAAATCTCTTATTTAAACTTTGAATTATCTTTTAATGCACCTTGATTCATGCATTTTTTTTTTTAGAAAGTGGTTTTATTTTCAAATTAATTTAATATCTGAATAATGTAATAGTATAACAATAACAGTGTAACAATAAAAGTATAACATTGTAGCAATAACAATGTAACAATAAAAGTGTATCAATAACAATGTAACAATAAAAGTGTAACAGTATAACAATAACAATGTAACAAGCTATTTATACAAAATATTCCACTATTACATTTTGTCAAACATATAATTTCATATAATTTCATTCAAAATAGTCCATCTTCTTTTTGAATTTGTTACCACATACACAAAATTACTGAACACTGTTTTTGTTACAATGTATTTGTTACACTGTTTTTGTTACAGTGTATTTGTTACACTGTTATTGTTACATTATTACATTATTCGAATATTAAATTAATTTGAAAATAACACCAATTCCCCCCTAAAAAAAAACGCTTGAATCAAGGTGCATTAAATATAATTTAAAAATAAAATCACTTTCCAAAAAAAAAAATGCATGAATTAAGGTGCGTTAAAATAATTCAAAATTTAGATAAAATATTTAATAAGTATATATATATACTTAAACAAGTATATACACATATTTACATGTATTAACACACATGAATCAAGATGCATTAAATACGTATTTATATGTAGTAATAAACACACATGAATCAATGTGCATTAAAGATAAGAGATTTTAAATTAAATGACCATAAAATGGGTATTTATATTTTTTTAACTCACATTTTGTTCTATGTATATTTTTACAATTAAGTTTAATTAGGTGTACCAACTTTCAAAAAATCCAAACAAGATAGACATGTTTTGTCTAAGGCCATGCCGCCCATTCTGTTCAAATTTCAATCAAAGCCGAGCATGGAAAATGACATGACATTACCAATATCGTTCTGCACATGAACCCTCTGTTCGGTAGGAAGCTGAGTGGAAAACGGAAGGAAAGGAAATATTTTCCCTTATTTGCTAGGGAAGGAAAACGGTGTTGAATTGGTTTACTATTATGCCCTTCAAAGCTTACATATCCATGGTATGGTTAGCCCTTTTGGTCTAAAATTAGCCACGTGGATGTTGCTTGTTCACTTTGTGAGTTTTTACTGGACACATCTTTGTTTTGTTTTTTTCTTATTTTTTTTCCTTGCATTGGATATATTCCTCCACATTTGATGCAATAAAGATAATTTTATATTTTTTAATTTGTGAAGTGTATTCTTTTTTTTTTTTTAATTTATATCGTTGGAATTGATTCTATGTGTATGAGACCTTATAAATATTTTTGTAATTAAAAAATATATAACAAGGAAATGCATGTAGGTAACATTTAAGGATACTAGCGATACCTAATAACTGAAATCTCTGTATACTAAGTTATGATATTATGCGTATATTAGAGTGTGTATATAATAAGTGTCTGTGTATATGTAATGAGTGTGTGTTGTGGAGTGTTTGTGTTGAGTTTGTAAAATTGGGGAGGGGGAGTGTGTGAAATTTTGGGAGAAAAATATGTTCCCCGTAAGTTCAAAAATTTAACTATCTTATCGTATGTATTATGGTAAAATAAGCCAATAATATTTTTTGTTTCTTTCCTTCTCTTTACCAAACATAACATTAGAACATCCAATCCTCCTATTTTCTATCCCACCAACCAAACAAAAAAAGATGAGAAAAAATTTTCTTTTCCTAATAGATGGAAAATCAATTCCTCCCGCTTTTTCATTTTTCTATTTTTTTCATCCATTCTATCAAACGTACTAAAAAAGAAAAAAAAATTGTTGGTATAAAGGTACAAAGAGAATGTAATGTATACCAAATTTTGAGAATAAACGATTAAGTTTATAATAATCATTGGAGTGTTGTGTGATCATAACATGTTAAACGATAAATACGTTTAGAAGAGTGACTTTTGTGTTAATATTCAATGCAAGATAAGCACATCACTCGTTTTTTTGGCTGGGAAATCGAATTCTATTCTAGTCCAATGTCCAATCACTCTAGTGTCCAAGAAAAAAAAAATAGTAGAACCACGCAATACACACTACTTGTTGACTTCTTACTAGCGAATGAAGAAAGAAGTACCTCATGTCATAGGCCATTGCCACTTTGGCTCACATCAATGAACATAGATCCAATAACATACCAAGTGGAGCATAACACCATTTGATACACAAATACTAAAAAATTACTTTTGCCTTAGATTTTGTTTCCATTATATACGGAAAAGTGCAACCTAAATAATAAAAAAAAATAGCAATGTTATGAACACCAAACAGGTGCATCAAATCATTTGT